TGCAAGAGAGGATGCTGATGATGCTGGAGAGGATGATGATGATGCAGGGGAGGATGGTGATAATGCAGGAGAGGATGCTGATGATGCAGGAGAGGATGATGATGATGCAGGAGAGAATGCCGATAATGCAAAGGAGGATGGTGATGATGCAGGAGAGGATACTGATAATGCAGGAGAGGATGATGATGATGCAGGAGAGGATACTGATAATGCAGGAGAGGATGATGATGATGCAGGAGAGGATACTGATAATGCAACAGAGGATGATGATGATGCAGGAGAGGATACTGATAATGCAAGAGAGGATGATGATGATGCAAGGGAGGATGGTGATGATGCAGGAGAGGATGATGATAATGCAGGAGAGGATACTGATAATGCAGGAGAGGATGATGATGATGCAGGAGAGGATACTGATAATGCAGGAGAGGATGATGATGATGCAAGGGAGGATGGTGATGATGCAGGGGAGGATGGTGATAATGCAGGAGAGGATGATGATGATGCAGGAGAGGATACTGATAATGCAGGAGAGGATGATGATGATGCAGGAGAGGATACTGATAATGCAAGGGAGGATGGTGATGATGCAGGAGAGGATACTGATAATGCAGGAGAGGATGATGATGATGCAGGAGAAGATGATGATAATGCAGGAGAGGATGATGATGATGCAGGAGAGGATGCTGATAATGCAAGAGAGGATGATGATGATGCAGGAGAGGATACTGATAATGCAGAAGAGGATGATGATGCAGGAGAGGATACTGATAATGCAGGAGAGGATGATGATGATGCAGGAGAGGATACTGATAATGCAGGAGAGGATGATGATGATGCAGGAGAGGATTCTGATAATGCAGGAGAGGATGCTGATAATGCAAGAGAGGATGGTGCCAGAGAGGATGATGATGATGCAGCAGAGGATACTAATAATGCAGGAGAGGATGCTGATGATGCTGGAGAGGATACTGATAATGCAAGAGAGGATGATGATGATGCAGGAGAGGATACTGATAATGCAGGAGAGGATGATGATGATGCAGGAGAGGATACTGATAATGCAGGAGAGGATGATGATGATGCAGGAGAGGATACTGATAATGCAGGAGAGGATGATGATGATGCAGGAGAGGATGCTGATAATGCAGGAGAGGATGCTGATAATGCAAGAGAGGATGATGATGATGCAGGAGAGGATACTGATAATGCAAGAGAGGATGATGATGATGCAGGAGAGGATACTGATAATGCAAGAGAGGATGATGATGATGCAGGAGAGGATGATGATGATGATGCAAGGGAGGATGGTGATAATGCAGGAGATGATACTGATAATGCAGGAGAGGATGATGATAATGCAAGAGAGGATACTGATAATGCAAGAGAGGATGATGATGATGCAGGAGAGGATACTGATAATACAGGAGAGGATGCTGATGATGCAGGAGAGAATGCTGATAATGCAGGAGAGGATGCTGATGATGATAATGAGCCTATGACTGCTGCTTACTGCGACAACACGTCTACTGGAGTTGCTTTGAAAATACATGATGATGATGATGATGATGATGACGATGGTGATAATGATTTTGCATTTCATAAGTGAGTCAACCTGATACCATCATGTGACTGATAGATCAACATGACGACTATTTTGGAGTTTTGTATGTCATATTTTTGGTAAATCTTTTTAATCAATCAAAATGATTTCTGAAATTTACAATGCAATTGCTTTTTAACACTAATATCATGACCTCCTTTTTATGCTATTATGTAAGTTTTTTTTCACATCATACGTTCAGTATCGTAATTAGGGGGTGGGACATTGGGTCATAGACCTCCCGTCGGGCGTATGAAAGGTCTTATTTTGAAGTGAAAATTTCACCATCCAAATGCTTAAAATTAACTTCAGGCCATCTGAAATCCGTTGACTTCTGGGGATTTCTGGCAACTTCTAGCATCTGGCCTCCATGGGCTTTGACCTCCCCCTCGAACATTTTCTAGATTCGCCCATATACACCTTATTACATATAATATCATTATGACCT